TCCTCTTGGAAGCGGGCTGGCACTCCCACAGGAAATGTTGGGATCTAATTCTGGCTATGGAACTGAAGTCAGTAGGGAAAGGTATGGCTTGCCTCTGCAGGCAGTGGAGGTCCAGGGAAATGTGAAGGTTCAAGTCCTCTGTCAAAGTGCCATCACGCCCTTCCCCCACTAGTGCCCTTAGAGACCTAGCAGGACTGAGCGTTTAGTTGGTGCTACAACTGTGCAGCCTTCACAACCCACCTCAGGCTTGTCCCGGAACTGCTGTGACCACAGATGAGACCCCGTGGAAGCTCTCTAGCTCTGCAACTGTCTTACTTTTATGTTGACAGCTTTTACTTTCTTTCCCCACCTACCTTCCTCCTCCAGGCTGTCAGAGTAAGGTCTGGAAAATCTTTAGTCACAATTCACCATAATGATGACGCGCCACAGCCGATTGGTCTATCAAAGTCTTGACCTTCAACTGTACTGCATTCCATGCTGCTACTCTCCTAAGTACTTGTGGCACCACTGTCTACCAATTTACTCGTGTGCCATTGCCCCCACACTGACGTTAGCCCTGTCCTCCCCAAATATACATGCCACCTCATCCCAGAACACAACCTTCAGGGTCAGTTTCCTGGGGCCATTTCTGGTTCCTATTGCTGTAGCACTCAGTGCCAACAGGAAGCAGACAGGATACTTACTCATCATAATTTGAAGAGGATTTAATAAAGACCACTTACAAATATATATATGAGTGTAGGAAAACCACACAGTTAACCCTCTCAGCCCAAAGGGACAAGGTTAAGGGAATGACCACTGGAAATCAGGAGAATTGGGTAGAGGTGCCCTTAAGAGGTCACCTTTAGTTGAGCAACACAGAGCCAGGCCAAGGTGACCTTGGAGAGGAGCCAGAGGAAGAAATATCTGACCTCTGTTCTTCCTCACTGTCCCATTTCCTAGCAGGGATCTGCACGGGCCAAGCCCAGTGAGGAGCCAGACAGCAGAGGAGCCTGCGGCTGCGTCCCTGCAGGCCAGCCTCCCAGGGTCGAGGGTGGGGTGTAGTATAGACCTGGAGGAGCACCCCAGGGCAGCCCACGTCTAGCGCAGTCTCTACACTGACTGTCAGGAGACACCCGTCCAGTTCGAACTTCACTACACCCTTAAAAAGTTGGGGCGAGGGAAGGTCAGATTTTATGTAATTTTTTTTCCTAGTATTATCTTCATTACTAGTTAAGTTTTTCTTACACAATCACAAGTCCCACCCATGGCACCTGAAATTGGTAGAGATTAGGCAAAAAAAAAAAAAATCCTAGTCCCTAAAGCCAAGAATAAATCAACCTGCCCTGGCTGGTGTGGCTCAGTGCCAGCCTGCGAAAGGAAAGGTCATCAGTTCCACGCCCAGTCACGCCACATGTCTGGGTTGTGGGCCAGGTCCCCAGATGGGGGCATGCGGCAGGCAACCACACATCAGTGTTTCTTTCCCCCTTTTTCTAACTCCCTTCCCCTGTCTCTGAAAAGAAAAATTAAAAAAGTAAATCAACCTCTCTTTAAGGAGCGATGGCCAGTGGCTTGAACTCAAACTGATAAAACACAGACACTCAGAGTTTAGCGTTGACTGAAGGGTTTGGCAGTCACTAACGCTAGCATGCATCCATGTACTGGGAATGTGAAGTGTGGATAACTAACTGACCTTCCTACTGCTGCTGGGAGTGGGGTGAAATGGTTTCAAGAAATTCTGAACAATCCCTGGCTGGCGTAGCTCAGTGGATTGAGCGCAGGCTGCGAACCAGGCATCGCAGGTTCGATTCCCAGTCAGGGCACATGCCTAGGTTGCAGGCCATGGCCCCCAGCAACCACACATTGATGTTTCTCTCTCTTTCTCCCTCCATTCCCTCTCTAAATAAATAAATAAAATTTAAAAAAAAAATTCTCAACAAGAGGCACTGCATCAGACACAAGTCCTAGCTTATGCCGCCAGTGGAAATCAGGGCGAGGGATTCTTCCAGAGTCCACTACTGAACCAACGAACCAAAACGGTCCACTGTCCAAGTCAGCATCACGGGCGCACACACACGGTGAGGTCAGCACGGTCTCGGATTTTGAGGTTGGCCGGATGTGGATTCCGATTCTGCTTGTGCCGCTCGTGCTGCCGCAACCACGTGAGCTACTCTGTGGAAACGTCCGCTTCCCCGTGACACATGAATGACGAGAGCCCCTTCTCGTGGAACTTGCGGCAGAGTGCTTCTGCCTTTCCTAAGACAAAAAATCCCCGAAGATGAAGAGTGTATAACCCAAGTTCTTTTCAATACTTACGGGACAGAGTTAGCAGCACTTGAGTTTTTTCCTCTTGCAGATTGCTGGAGTTAAAAAGGTGGCAAAACCAACTCCAGTGCATTTTTTAATCTTTTAAAGGTGCCACGCCGATCAACCTTTCTCTAATGGCTTGCTGCCAACACTGGCTTTGAATTATCTCCTCCAGCAGTAGCTTCCCTTCTACTTCAAAACCCAAGAACCAGTGTTACAGGACTTCAGCGTTTTGGAAATGTTCCCAATTGTCTCTTAAGCGCTCGCTCGGCCTGCCAGCTAGTGGTCCTGCAGTGAGCAAGAAGCCTCCCCCGTACTCAGAAACAGTCACAGATCAGAAAGAGCTATTTACGAGTGCTTGGATACCAAGTCGTTTGTTTCTGAATAAGGAATTTTAAGGAAAACCATAAGGCTTCTGAAATTATTTTCCAGTTAATATAAACGGTTAGTCTTCAAACCTGAAAGCCAGATTAATTCTGATCCTGGATTGAGGCGAACATCCACAAATCCTTCACCATCTTCAGACTCCTGCTATAGATCTTTTCACTACCTTTCCTCCTTTCGTATCACTTAAGTGAGAATAAATGAACATGTTCTTTCTCTTTTTCATCTTCCAAGGCCAACGGTGAGCAGGAAACGGGGCTCATGCCTCAAAAAATAAACAGGGGGCTCAGGGCTGGCCTTGCACACGTGTGCACAGCTGCCCACACGCACTGTTGCACTCCTCCATGGTCTCACTTTGAGCAGCTCAACTGTAGTAGGAGGGAAAAGTGGTTTGAGAACCAAAGTGATTCAAATTCTTGATGTTACAATGAAGTAGGTACCTTATTTTTTCTTTAAAATTATTAGAAGTACTCATGGTTCCGGGGACACTTCAAAGTCACCAGAAAACAGAAGTGGGAAGTGATTGTAACTGCCGCAGACACCAAGGTCAATTGCAATAGGTCCCAAACACAGCCAAATCCGTACTGTTAATTAGACATTGCGTGCTGCGTGTAAAACCCACCCTCCCGTCCAGGCATCCAATGTCCCTCCACAGCTACCACCTCGTTCCCCTTCGTCCTCCACAGCCAGGCTGCCGAGTCTCCACTCCTCACGCGGACTCTGCCTTCCCCGCCCTTGGCACCACCACCAGTGACCTACGAATCACCAAACTGCAGAAATGTGAAGGTTGCAGAAGTCAAGGAGAGACTTGACGACCTGTGTCAGACTGAGACTACAGACATCCCAATCAAATGGGTTGAAAGCTTTTGCTCTAGTCACTGTTGGAACAACTGGCAGTCTGAATGGGGCCTCCGGGTGAAGAGATACATGAGCTCTCTGTACCATTCCAGCAACGGCTAATTGTTTGTAAGGAAAAAATAAAAAGCCAGAGTGGGACCTATCAGAAGACTCAGGCAAAAAACACAAAGTGCAACTTTACATCACTTTCCAAGACACGTGAGCTACTACATAGGCAATTCTCAGTGAGTTCTGACTTCGGTGGCAAGAGGAGCACTTTGTATAGAGTCTTCCTTACCCCGAAGGCTTATAGTAGTTACAAAATCCAAGTACTGAAATTGAGGATAAGTGGTTTTTTCCTGGCAGGTAAAAAACAGAAGTGACCCACATCACTTCCAACCTAAAGTTAGTTATCCAGCAGAAAGATAATTTAAAACCCTCAAAAGCCAAAGAGTGAAATCAGAAAGAAACAGATGTGTTTCACTTTGGTCAGAAACAGGTGGTCACTGTGAACCTAGGACTAAAACGGCTGAAAAGCACGTCTGGGAAGCTCTGAGCTCTGTCTGACTTTTATATAAAGCCGTTGGGCAGCCGGGGGAGTTCTGAGTCTCTTTTACACAGATGGACGTTAGGTCTTGGGTGAACTGTTAATACAGTAAATACTCTATATGTAAATTTTTAAATGCGTCATGTTCTTAAAACCCCCTTGCTAGTCCCATTACACCTTTGAGCTATACTATAAAATTGTAAAGTCAGTGTGTCCGAGTACTTTTTTTTTTACTGGATTTCTGAGACAGTGTTTTACAGTTCAGTGTGTGGGGCAAAATAAGAGTCACAAGCAGTGTTCCATGGATCCTTCTAATCCCACATAAGTTCCCCTAAACAGAGATTTAAGCAGTAAGCCCTGGCTGGTGTGGCTCAGTGGGCTGAGTGCCGGCCTGCAAATGGAAAGGCTGCTGGTTCAATTCCCCCACTCGGGGCACATGCCTGGCTTGCAGGCCAGGTCCCCAGTTGGGAGCATTCAAGAGGCAACCAATCAATGTATCTCCCACACATCAATGTTTCCGTCTTTCTCCCTCCCTCCCCATCTCTCTAAAAATAAACAAAACCTTTAAACAATGAAATTCAAACAGTAAGAGATCTCAATATATATAAGTGAAAGCACTTATCAAGAAAGGGAAAATAGACACTTTATAAATGTAAACGTAAGTTTGAAATACACAGGAAGTCCATTATACAGTTAGGTACACCGAGGAATAATCACACTGCAAATCATTAGGGGCGGGGGGGGCAGGGGCGGGGAGGCTGTGTATACCCCTTAGTGTTTGCATTTTCCATTTGGATCGGGTGGACCATACAGCCCCAGAGATGCTCAGAAGAATCCACACGCTTTGGCGAGTTCCCATTCCCAAAGCACTCGCACGGAAAGGCCCATTCAACAGATAACTCAGCCGTTCATCTTCAGGTTTGTGAAACTGGGATGACACAGAGGGCACATTTCTTATTTTTTATTTCAACATTTAAAATATTCACAGATGGAGCATTGTATTCATTGACATCTCCATGGAAGATGTACCAAACAAAGCATACAGGTGTCCACAATTACAGAATTACGTATTTGTGACTATGTAAATGTTTACCCCCTAGAATTTATCTGGAAAAACGCTACTTAAAAAAAAAAAAACACACACACACCAAAAAAACTTTTTTGAGTATCTCACGGAATTTCCATAAAAAGTGAATAGCAAGAACTAGCAGGAGAAATATTAGCCAGCACTTCAACATTTCAAGCTTGTAGTATTCTTCTAACATACCCATGTCAGAAACATTTACTTCTCAATTATTTTTCTTTTCCTCTCAATAGCCAAGGCCAAGATGTACGTACTTTCAATTTTCAGTCTTTTTTCCAAAAGCATTATGTGGAATAGGTTGACCATCACAAAATCTTGACTAGCTAATGAGGTAGGAAGTCTTCAAAAGTTCTTAAGCATTTATGAAGCGAAACAAAAGAGAATCATCAAATGATACACAGTATTTTTTAGTGGTTGGTTGTTCTTTTAATAAAATGCCAAGAGCACTGGAAATGGGTCAGATGCTGCTTGTAACTTTAGAAGACAGAGAGTAAAACCCCAGGAGAAAGGCCCTGCAGCCGTGACAGGCCACGGCTAGTATTAACTCGGTCCGTTCTGGCACTGCAAGCAAGGAGAGAAATGGCGGCCCCCCAGTGCCGAGCTTTCTGCCTGGGGAAATCGTACCAAGAAGGTCAAGTTAAAACAGGGGGAAAAAGTACTCTTTCTTTCCGTACAAGCTAATTCTGCTATTATTTTAACCCAGTTCTCATCCTTTCCTACAGACAAAAGAAGATTTATAACTTCTATATATTGCATATCCAGTAACATTATTGAAATGAATTTCTCAGTCAATGTACCAAATTCTGCCAGAAAAACACTCCTTATAGGAAGGCTTTAAACTAGACAGCTAGAAAATGCCTAGGGAATAAAAGACTTCAGCACCATCTCTTTATTAGCAGATTGCTTCAAAATGCATACACCCCTTAAATTCATATAAACCTCGGACATTCAACCATCACTCCCTCTCCATCTACACCAAAATCAATGTTCTGTGTTCTAACTACCCTTTTTGTGTATATAGGGAATACTTTACAATCTACCCGATTAAGCTAACAGGACACGCGTTTCCAAAAATGGGGGAAGTCATCAATAAAAAAGTTATTTGCACACTTTAATACCTATCATTTGATGAAGGCTAAAATACCAGAAGAGAATTTCTTTATTTCCTCAATTACACAACAATTACGGTTACTGCTAAAAACACTTTTTCAAAAAACCCAAAAATGCAAAAAAATATATTCAAAATAGAATAGCTGCCAGACAATTGATAACTACACATGGCCTGGCAGATGGTTTTGAAATCAAATCCTTGATAATTCTATAAAATGTTCTAGACACAGCAATCAAACTTGGTGTAATAGTACAACTCTCTGATATAGCAGTAACCACTTTAAATTTTATTTTAGCTACCAAAAATAACTTGTCAACAAGGAATTTTTAATGTCTAGTCTAAACCTTTCTTTTCACTATTCTATCTAGAATTGTGTCCTATCAAAGAGATCAAAATATCATTTAGCTTGAAGAGAACTGCGTCATCTTCACTGCCTTCTTTAACTTCAGTAAAAGTTCCCTCACGCTCTTTCCTAAGGCCACACCATGCCCTATTTATTGCTGCCAAGCCCCTGAAATCTATGCCTCTATCTGTGTCTGCTTTGTCATCATGGTTCATTGAAAATTGTATCAGAGCGTCTGCTAAAACTTGGTAACATTTAAGTCCAGTACATTAACTGCAAAAGAACTAAGGCTACTGAAGCAAAGGCCAAAAACCACAAGTATATAGTCTTTCCCCTAAAAATTGATCACATTCCCTACTACTAACGGTAAAAGCTCAATGGTATCTCTGGCTATATATAATCCATACTCAATGTTGTAAAATAAAATGTTAGGCCAGTAAGCTTCCACAATTTTTATTAAATCCTAGTCTAATTTAACAATTTCTGATTTTATAGACATCCTCCTATGGTGAACATGTTTAGTACGTGAAAATAAGTCAGACATCTAAGAAGCCATCATCCTCTGCAGACTAAGCAAAAAGATAACTACCACACAGAACACTACAGGTAATGAAACAGACTTACTTGCTCAGAGTTTTCATACAAGCCATGTTGTTTATCAAACTATATCTCCTAATATTTAATACAGTAGAATTAGTGATTGTAGTTTCCATATAGTATTTTAATTACAAGTACCTTATTGAGATAACTAACATGTCAACAGTTTCACTGACTTTCCAGATTAGCATAATATATTCAAGAACAAAAAAAAATGAAAGTTGAGCAGAAGTTATTCAAGGAAAATGAAGTAAAGATAAAAAAAGGAAAGTGAAGTGTCACTGGACATTTGTGTAGAAGAAAACACAGCAACTATGGATTTCACAAATCAAAAGTTTATAAATTCAATACAATACAAATCCTTTTGAATGTAAAAGGTTGAAATTCAAATATCTATAAACTTTTGGCCTCAATTAAATAGTACCAATTCTTCTGATCAAAGAAGGCCACAACAGTTAAGACTGTATTACTTGATTTTATTTTACACTAGGTGGTGGGCACAAAGCGATCCTCCTCAATGAAGTTGACAATGATCTTCATTCAGATCGTTTTTAATAATGCACATAAAAAAAACATATTCTTACAAATTGTTCTGCAATCCAAATATACAATAGCTTGGGGGGGAGGGGGAGGAAATGTTTAGAAAACAAAAGCCAATGTAAAAAGACAGATTAAAACAACTAGACCAGTTACAAGTTTTATATGGCTCTGACTTTACAGTTTCCTTACTGCGTCATCAATGTCAGAAATCTGTTCCTTCAGCTGGCTCCATTGCTCAGGATTTAAAGAAATACCTAAAATAAAGTTTCAAAAATAAAAAACTGACAATCTATTTAAGCTTTCTTGAGGATTTTTATACTTTCAACTAAAATTCTTTTTTATCAAAATGACCATTTTTGAACCGTACAATGGTGTAATATTGATATAAAATCTCTTAATTTGTTAATTACAGAGTCATCACAATTACCTGAGGTCAATTTTATGTCCAGTTTTACTTTTAGACACCGCATCCTACATGCCACTGGTACATTTTACACCCAGTGAGAACATTCAATGATTTCATGATGTATCTCACAAATGCTTACACATGAGCAAGCCAAGTAGCCAGGCCCAAATTTGGTATGTGACATCCCACATCTACATCTAGCTGGTTCCAGCTTTTGCTCCAAATTTCCACAGGAACTCAAGGTGAATGACTTCTGTGCTGAGTTCTTCCAGAAGCATTCATTTCACTTTGGAAAATCCCTGGGATATGATCCATACAGGACTCCTTAGAATCCACATTCTGAAATCATGCCATCGCGGGGTTCAAGTCCCAGCCTCACTAGCACTAACTTTAAGACCTTAAAACAACTACACTACCTCTGAGGTTCAGTTTCCTCACCATTAAAATGGTTCTTATACATCCAAGGGTCGTTGTGAATGATTAAATTAGCTAACCTGAATTAAAAGCTTAGCAGATCACTGGGCACAAGTAAACACTTGGAAGGTTAGCTTAATGACACTATCCTGTGTAAACTGTAAAACTATGAACAGAAAGAACTTTGTACTTTAAAACTTTCAGTATTCTAATACCTGGCCCATGCAAACAGAAATAAACTAAACTGGAGAATTAATGTATCTCAGAAAACTGCTGGGAGGCCACCAAACAGAGGGGAAAGGGGGGAATGTGCTGGGACAGCCCCTAGGAAGGGCGTCCAGGAAGCTCAGCTCGTTGTTCCAGGGCACTTTTGCAGGAACAGGAAAAGAAATCTGGCATTAGCCACAATGGAACAACTGGGATGGCCACTCCAGAAGCAGGCTGAACAAGAAAGTGCAGAATATAAAAACACAGAGGGTTAAGCTTAATTAAACCTAAAAAATACATGAAGAAACAAACTGCCTTTCAAAATTGTATGCAGGCAAAGTAGAAGAAAATAAGGAGGAAGTTTTTCATCAGCTCAAGATTAACCTAAAGCAGTTAACTACCCAGCCATAAAAAATTTATGTTGGTACACAATGCTCTCTAGCTATTGGGTTAATTAATAAAGTATGCTTCTGTGGTGCTAGATGAAGCAAAAAGACAGAAACCCATTTAAATAATACCACCCTAACGAATACGCAAAAGGAAACTGTGTGAACCAGGATTTTCCATTCTTGATTTTGCAACTTCCCAGATAGTGCCTACTCTACTTCAGAATCAATGCTTTAAAAAAAATTTTTTTAATGTTTTAATTTACATTGAAGTAAATTAGCAGCCAACTGAAGTGATGTTAAGGGTACTATTTTTTCTGGGTTTTATTCCAATAGCTATATTTAAGGTACCTCATTAAATAAAAGCTAAGCGTCATACCCAAAAGACTACAGAAGATAATGAATCAACCAATGTGGACCTCTTCCTAGTACAATGCAAACATTATTTCGATTTCCAACAATCGAAATAAGGGTCACTTAGGGTCACTTAGATCATTTTTGATTCAGTCCAGTATTAGGACCAAATTCAGGAAATTAAGTCTCACCTTTTCTTCCTGGTTTCATTTCACCTTCTGGGTCCATCCAATATTCTCTAATATCAATAAGGACTTTTCCTTTGAAGTCCCGAACACTGACGTACCTCATTTTTCCAATCTGCAAAGAAGCAAAACATGAAAAGGTATTCGTTTCTACAGTCCATATTTATTTCATAAGTCATTGCATACTCACTCTATTTTTAATCACAAAAATAGCTACTACTCTCAGTATCAAAACGATAACCAAAGGAAGTATCACTATTAAAAAGAAATCTTCTCAAAAAGATGGAACTAAACAAGCACAGCTCACATTTCCAATCATTTCACATTAAAAGAATCATTAGTAAAACAGTGCAACTGCTACGGAACACATTGTACGGAGGCCCTCAAAAACCAGAGCGCACGACCCAGCAGCGGTCGGAGGCCCAGCCCCACTTCTGGGTATGTGTCTGGAAGAATTACAGCAGGAGCTTAAGGTAATTATTTGCACACCCATACTCACGAGAGCATTGCTCACAACAACCAAAACATGGGGCAACCGAAACGCCCATATTCTGATTAAGTGAATAAACAAAATGTAATTTATACATACAGCAGAATATTATTCAGCCTTAAAAAAGGAATGTCTGGCACAGGTTACAACATGGATGAGCCCAAGGCCATTGCACTAAGTGAAACAAGGCAGTCATCGAAAGACACATACTGTATGGCTCCACTCACACAGTGCCTAGAGCAGTCAGATTCAGAGACAAAGCACAGAATGGTGGTTGGGGATGCTGGGGAAGGGACAAATAGCAGAGCTATGTTAGCTATGGAACAGTTCTGCAAGATGAAAAAGTTCTGGAAATTTGTTTCACAACAGTGTGAACATATGGTTAAGGAAGTAAATTTTTTGGTTGCATTTTTTACAAAAAAAAAAATCATCAGAAACCAAACTCTTGCAGTATAAACTACAACCACAGGAAACCACGGACCTTTGCTTTAGCAACCCTTCTGAATGTAAGAATACAGAGACGGTAACATGAAAAAGCTTTTTCCTTTAGACATTCATTTCAAGTAACATCTTTTAATACACTTCACTCACAGTCTGAGAACTTAATCCTACTATGCACAGAAAACTGTTCTTCAAACTTTCTTAAACACAGGCTACAAAGTCCAAAGGAATGGAAAACACTTTACTCAACAAGGCGCTGTCAACACTCTCCAAGAAGTCTCTCACTACTGTAACACATTGTCTAGCACTTCAACTACAAAAGCACACTTTCCGATGAACACCTCTAGCACCTCTACCTCTCTTCCCCATTCTAAACCTACTCTCCTTCACTCTCACTGACTTCAACTCGCTGTGGCGGCTGTGCTCAACACACGCCAGCATGTGACAGCTGCGTGTCTGGCTGGGCTCCTTCAATCGGGCTGCCTCGGGAGTCAGAGCTGCGCAGCGCCGCAAGCACGCGTTCGTGACTTCCACCCTGCCCTCGTCCACTCAGACTGCTTTTCGGGTCTCAGTTTGGCCTCATTCATTCTCCTTTTAGCTGTCAATCTCAAGTAAGTTTCTTGTCCTGCTGGTGTGTCCCCTACTTCCAGGGCATGCCCCGTGCTTTGCGGAGAAAATAAAGTCCATTAGGTACGAGGCACAGGTGAGTGCCTTCGAATCTTTTTTCTCTGTATTTACCCACATCATTATCAACTCTTAACCTCTTTACCTTCCATATCCCATTTCTCCTTTACACATTCTTTCCCTTTCTGATGGTTCTTATCCACCATTTCCAAACGTGCCTCTCCTCTTTTTATAAAGCACTTTGTAACTTTCCCCATGTTCCCTTTTTCCCCTTAGGGCTGAACTCTGAAAGAAGCAAACTTCTGTTTCCACCAATTAAATTCCCATAGCCTACTCTAAAGTCACCTGTAATTTTATTGTCAGGTTTATAATTTTTTAAAAGTTTTTATTTATTATTTCTAGAGAGGAGAAGGGAAGGAAAGAGAGAGGGAGAGGAACATCAACGTGTGGTTGCCCCTCACACGCCCCCTACTAGGGACCTGGCCCAGGACCCAGGCATGTGCCCTAGACTCAGAATCAAACCGGTGGTGACCTTTAGGTTCACAGGCCAGCACTCAATCCACTGAACCACACCCGCTGGGGATATTATCAGTTATAACAGCTCATTTTTTACTCAGTCTTATTTGTATCCCCTACAGCCTATCATACTGGGTTCCTGGTAAACTGTTTTAATAAATGAATTAAGTCCAAAATAACTGTCACAGTGAAACTGTCAATAGTGACTTATAATACTGATTTAATATTTTTTAAAAAATCAGGTATCTTAAGCAGCTATAGCACTGCACTAAACATTTTCATTTTGGTTTTTACAATAAACCCAAAAGCCTATTGAGCAGATAAAATTAAAATATACCAAAACCTACTAAAATAATATTGATTATGTAAGTCAAGTTTAATGTGGGCTTAAGGAAATGGAAGAAACTTTAGGTGGTGAAATTTGACCTTGACAAATGATTAAGCATTAATTAAGTAAAAGGGAGAGACAAGTGGCAAAGACACAGAGGGGGGGAAAGCAGAAAGACACAGTACTGATATTCAAACACAGGCCCAACAGACGGAGCTTCACTGAAGAGGACTTGAAATACAGGGAGAGAATTCTGAGGCCTTTATAGGTTCCTGACCGAGAACAGAAAACAAGACAAAACGAACAAAAAAACCAAGCACACTACTACTGCTGCTGTCTTCTGCAAGAGTCACATTCCTAAGAAATCCGAAAACAGGGTTAAATCTCTAAAAATCTCACTGGAAAAGGTTTAAAAATCAAGACTGAAAGGAAACCTATTTTAAAGAAAAAGACAAGCATGTTGTAAATATATTAATGCACATTTTACCAGTCTCAAGGTAGAAATAGAAAGTACTCAATTTTTTTATGTAAAGTGCATAATACAACACACTAAACACAAGAAACAGTTAGCTCCTTTAATTTCTACCCTTGCTTTCTAGAAACTTCTCAGAAGTGCCCTCATCCACAATTTCAATGAAGTATGTTGTAAATATTTTTGTTTGCTACAGTATTTTAACACAGTATGAGGCATTTTCTTTCTCCCAAACATGGCTAACCATCCATGTATTCAAAACTTTGTGAATTTACAATATGAGGTCCCTAATCACTTTCTAATGATTTGCATCTGATATACAGCAAACAAGGAACTACTCAAAGTAGAGAAAAGGTATAGGTTGGTAAACCTACACTAAAACTTTGTAACATTTCAGAGACTAGCTGTAGGTTTGGCTGCTCCAGAGACACAGGCTGCTCCACCAAAATCTGAGTCACTTATAAACTAAAACTTACTGTGCATTTTGTACACTGCCCCTCAATATGTCAGTGTTCACTTGAACATAAAAGTTTTCATGCAGTAGAGTGAGTGCAGGCTGCAAACCAAAGGATCGCCCTTTGAGATTCCCAGACAGAGCACAAGCCTGAGTTGCAGGCCAGGTCCCTGGTAGAGGGTGCGGGAGAGGCAACCACACACTGATGTTTCTCTTCCTGTCTTTCTCCTTCCCTTCCCCTCTCTCTAAAACTAAATAAATAAATAAATCTTTTTAAAAAGTTTTCCTGCAAATCTCCAAATAAAGACGGGCCTGCGGAAAGATGCACCACGTTTACCCCATGACTCGCACGCTCCCACACCAGAGAGCAGAGCCACAGCTGGGCATGCAACCCCCTCCGGAGCACGGCGAACAGCGGCGCTGAGGAAGGAGACGGGAGGGCTGCCCCTGACATCAGGAACGAGGCAAGGATGTCTGCTCCCACCACTTCTTTTCAATACTGTACTGGAAATAATAGCAACAAAGCAAGAAAAAGAATGAAAAGGACGATATAAAACTCAACGGACATAATCATTATCAACATAGAAAACTCTAAGAAGTCTCAAAAAATACATGTATGACATATAATATAAAGTAAATATATGTTTACATGTTATGTAATATGCATATTTTTTCTAGCAATAAACTGGAAAATGAAATTAACATTTACGGTACAATAAAAAAATGCAAAATACTTAAGAATTTCACAAAAGATGTGCAAAACTCTATAGTGAAAATCATAAAACAGAGAAATTCAAAAAGATCTGAATAAATGGAGAGCGACAGTGCACACATTAAGTAGAAGACTCAATATTGTCAAGTTGCCTGTCCTTCCCAAATCAACCTTCAGCTTTACCCAATCCCAATCAAAATCCTAGTAAGCTATTTGGTAAAAATTGACAAGCTGATTCTAAATGTTTATAGAAATACAAAATACAGAGAATAGCAAAAAGATTCTAAAGGTGAAGAATAAATAATGTTAAAGAACTTATCCTACTTGATTTCAAAACTCACTGAAAATGCATAATAATTATGACAGTGTAGTACTGAAGACAGACATGTAAATTAATGGATTAGAGTGCAGAAATAGACACTTTTTTACATATTCACTGATTTTCATTATGAAGATCCAAGATAATGCAATGGAAAGTGAACAGTCTTTTCAGTAAGTGGTACTGGAACAACTGGCTACCTGTGTGCAGGGGAGAAAAATGCGTACCCACCCTATCTCAGACCAGACACAGAAACTATTACTACATGAATCACAGACCTAAACACACGAAAGTTAGAACTACAAAAATTCTAGAAGAAAAACACTGGCAAAATTTTTGTGCCCTTGGGGTGAAAAAATATGTCGTCATAGAAAACAAAGTATTAACCAAAAGGGGAAATTTACTGAAAATTGACAATCAAAATTAAAGCTTTTTAAAGATATTTAAAATAAAATGGCAAACCACTGAACCAGAGAAAATAATTCACTTTACGGCTGTCTGACAAAGGACTTGTATCTAAAATATATAAAGAACTCTTACAACTCCATAAATCAAATGACCTATTTTAAAAAGACTTGAACAGAATCTTCAAAACCAGGTCTATGAAGCCCCAGCTGGGGGCTCAGCTGGTCAGAGCCTCATCCCGACATGCCAGCATTACAGATTTGATCCCCAGTCAGGACACATACAAGAATCAACCAATGAGTGCATAAGTGGAATAACAAATCATATTCCCCTGATTCTTTCCTCTCCACCTCC